ACAAGAAAATGAGCATAACAATGAAAATCAAGAGTTATACAGCAGATATTTATTTGATGGCAACAGCCTGTACTATAGATGGAAGATCTTTCCCAGCTCATGTGTCAAAATTAAAAACATTGACTAAAAGTTATATGTGCCATATATGTTTACCTATATGTCTGACCACTCATGAAATAAACTAAATGATAATCTTGACATTGCAATTTGTTTCAGAACACACCTGCATGGGCAGTGAGTTCAGAGGTGAGTGCATGTTTCTACAGGTTGTATGCTGTGGTGACGAGTAGAGCCGTCGTCCTGCGAGATGTGGCACCTCAGGGCTGAGGACTGGAGATGGTATTCTTGTTAGCACCAGTGGACTGGGATGACCTGCTGGTAAGCAACACAATCTCTCAATCTGCAGCCTGGCCACATTATTCATCACAAACTAATAACATGGCAGCTGTGTTAACACAGAAAAGTAACAATGCACACATGTATTTAAGTGTAATGGATTGACCATGTAGTTAAGGAATTTCACATGGCTACTTTATGGAGGTCATTATTTCTAGAAAGCAAAATCTGATGACCTAAAAGACAAATACATTATTTGTAAATAAAGTACAAACTTTTTATGGGAAGAAAAAGTATCCATTAATTTGACTATATTCTTATGTAAGAAACATTTTACATTACAACCCAGTGTGCAAAAAGTGAAACTGAAGATCTTACTTTGTAAGGGTGGCATCATTTAATGTGACAGCTCATATGATACACAGTCTGTTCTTTGTTTTGACTTCCACATCAAGTTGTTCATACCAGTAATGCCATAAGAAAATTTGAGTCTACTACAACCTTGAACTTTCCCCAAAGGTAAAGGTGGAAGGCCCTCAGGACATGGCTCCTCCACATTGCTGTGGTGATTGTGCTTAACCACTTGAGTTGCCCACTCATTGATCCAATTGGAGCCATCACGATACAAACTGCTCATCTGCAACAAGTCACTGAACAGTATAACTTCGTTCAGCACTTAACACACTTCTACATTCTTTCTGAGAATTTAACATGTTTAGCTCTGTGATTATGTATTCAGGATCCAGGTTGAAACCTCTGGCAGGAACCTTGCATTAATTTCCTCAGTCAGACTACAGCAAACTATGAGATGTTACCTTGCAGAAGTACACAGCAGCAAGTGCTACTACTTGTTCCTCTGCAGAGAAGTTAATTGCTTCACAGGGACCTAAATCTTACATCTTACCATGAAACTGAATCAAACAGATCACTGATCAGTGATACATACCGTGAAGTCGTTCTCCTCTTGGGTGTCGCAAATGGCGTGACTACCATTTCCTGTGTCCAGTTTCCTCTCAATCACTTTTTCTATCTCAAGCCTAGCTTGCTCCACATCTGGGCATGGAGCTTCTTTATCAATAGTGTAAGTCCCAGCTTCACTCAATGTCTCACTGGATGAGTCAATCCTTCCATCCAAATCTAAATCATTCAACTCATCCATCATGTCCTGAGTTTCTATCTCCTCCTCATCAGTAGCACCCAGGACAAGCCAGTTCTCTCTGGTGACAGTGCCCTCTGGCTTCAGAGTGCTCAGGTTGTTCATTGACGTGTTGTGTCTCTTGCTGTCCACACCTGCCTCATTGCATGCAGTATTCTGCAGAACATCCTCCTCAGGAAAGTCACCAAACTCCCAACTGTCTGTATGTGCAGAATTCAGTGCTTTGTTCTGATCTGCCATGATCTTCTTCTCCTGAGCTAGATTCGTCATACGCAAACCTTACGTGATAAACATCATATATTAGTTTTAACAGTAAGAGGCATAATTTATGTACATGTGAATGATTTCTAACACTTCAAATAGAGAATGATAACCCAAGGGGTGAGTCAGGAGTGCAGTGGGGATTAAAGATCCTATTATAGCCACTTAATTTGAGAAATTTGAAAGTCTGAATTGTTTCAAAGCAAAAGAACTACATTTCTCATTCTTAAATATCACTGTGAACTGAAAACACATATCAGAACTATACAGTAGTTATCACATCAACAACAGACGTTCAGTATTTTTTACCAGCTTATCAGAACTGATTTGTTCATAACTGGTTAATATTTATGAAAACCCTTGCCATATTTGGGAAGAAGAATTGTGGTTGAAAAAATGTAATCATGTAATGTAAAGAATTAAGAGGAATCCTCATTTAATGTTTGTGCTAAGCTAAGGACATTTATTTAATAATAGAGATAATTCTGCCGAGACCATAAATGTAACACTAAATGAAGAGAGATCGTAATTGAACAACACTAATTTGGGGCAGCATTTTTCTTCTTCCTAGTAATTCCACAGGAATAATGTAGGTGTTCTATTAGTATTTTGGGCCATTATTACAATTAAAAATGTCCTGTACCATCTTTCCACCTGTCTACTTCTTTGACCAAGCCACTATTTACAGTTTATATCATACTACCAGTAATAATTTGTGGACACATCACTGCTGATCCACAGCATTAAACAAACATTTACAGTAATTCACTTTAAGAAAAATATGTGCAATATGCTATGCACACCACAACAGAGTCACAGAAAAGGTAAATTATTTTATTTAGTTTACTGTAGACTTTCTGCTGGAGTCTACAATCTGGTATTGCAAAACAGTACAAACCAAACATCATATCGGAATACACACTGAACTGGTATTGGATTGCCTCATAACTACAGAAGCTACTATTAGCGGTACAAGTTAATAATGTGTAAGTACAAATCATGCAGGGTACCCTAGCTACCATTACACCACTGCTACAAGTTATGTATTTACACTGCTTGTCAGGAATGTGAAATTACTTTTACAGTATGGACTGAAATCCAACATCATGTGGCACAATGTCAGATTCTTCCTTCTGATTTGCTTTGTTTCCTGTTACACATTTCTGGAACTTCATTTTCATTTTTAAATCTGCAGATACCTTTAAATTGTACAGTAACAGGGCTGTTGCCTCTAGGATTCCAGACAAATCTCCTTTCACATTTCTAAATCCTGCAGAGAGTGTATCCTGGTAACAATCATAAAATACACTCTTTTTCTCAGAAAAAATTTACTCTGATGCTGACAGCCTTTAATATCATTGTTCCATCCATAAAACAATTTTTGTTCTGTCATCAAACTGGGAAAAGTTTATTATCTGATATTTTCTAATTTACACAAATTTCAGCATCTATTTATATTATGAAAACAAAAGTTTAAATTGTCAGTAAATTGACAGGCTGGGTTCAACTTCTAGAAGAGGTTGCCTATTCACTGTGTACTCAAGAGTGATGCATGAGAAGAACCTCGATTCAGTACCACAGGAAATTTCATACATTTGCTATAAGCCATCACTACAACTCTCTCTGCATGGTTTCTCAGTACTTATGGGATTGTCAGCAGCTGATCATCTCTTGCTAAGTGACTTTGGAATGAGGATTACCATAATGCATGTCTACTTCTTTGTCATTTCAGAAATATAAATAGTTGTTTACACAGCACTGTTTGTTCTCCCACAGTGGAACCTTGGCATCCTAAAAGACTGGGATATGATGCACACAGTAGAAGATTCTAGGTAAGTGTTTTCCACTTCCTTTTAATTTTCAGGCACTTCACAGCTTAACCCTCCCTGACAAGAAGGTGGATTCTCCTATACCTGTCACGATCTGATCTGCCTTAGTAGGCTGGCTTCCCATGGCATGGACACGAAAAATATTTAATTGTCAACCTTCTCCGGTGCCGATCTCTCTCATGAGTGTTTTAACTCTGTACACAACATACTGACAGTTCTTGCATACCTGGTAGCAACAGGCTTTGCAGTAACAGGATTAATTCAATACAAAACAATGTAGTTGAAGAACTTACCAACTCTGGGCCAGTTGTCTGTAATTTCAACACATAAGAAAGGACTGTTGTACTTTACATGACAGTAGATCCAAAGTATTGGAACAACTAGGGAGAAGAGGTGTAGTCAGCTATTGGTACCCTCAGATAGTCATCTATCATGACACTATTAAAGGAGGATTAAAGGTAAAAAGCAAATACACAAAATGCTGGCATTCCTTTCTTTTTAGAATATACAACAACGGAGGTATATGAGTACTGAGGCGAAAATGATGGGGTGTGGGGGGGACAAGCAGTCAAGGTATTTAGTAGACTGAGGATTGCTGTCTTCTGGGTTGTTGCACTGTGTAGTACAGTCGATGTTTACCAATGTTTCAGAGGTCATGCTGCCTCCATCATCAGGATGACATGCAGCATGACCTCTGAAACGTTGGTGGACATCAACCAGACTACATGGCGCTTCAACCCAGAAGACATCAATCTTCAGACTCACTGCCATGATAACCTCAAATCCTACATATTTAGTAGACCCTTTTCAGTTCACATGAAGGGCTTGCAAATCTCAGAGTAGTTGATCTTTGGTAGTTTTTGTAATTTAATAAAACTCTATCAAATAAAGAAATAATAGTAACACCTTTTGGGAGAAATTGTTTGCAATACCATCAGAACTTGAGAATTTGTATTGTACAGACAATTGTGGGTTTAAAAATATTTCAAAGTTTCAGATCTGATACTGTCATAATTTAACATTTATCAAACTTACAAGCCAGTATGAACGATCATATTAAAACCTCTCATTTGGACATCAATACTGCTCAATAATCTTCCAAGGATGATATTTTTCATGCCAGTTATGGGGCATCAAACACCCCAGAAAATTTGTTGTCATGCTAATTTAAACATTTTTGCTTGAACAGATTCACAGATGTCATAATATCAGTCATTCGTCCTTCTGTGACTAACATGTGACTTCTGTTCTTAAATGTTTATTCTACAGACATAAAGCCCCAGATTTTGGTAGAACAGTCAGCATCAAGTTCTGGCCACTATTACTCTCAAGGAGAGTATAGTGAAATTCTGGGACAACTGCAATTGAAAAGACAGCCCCAATTTCATGACTTACAATTCCCCATATATTTTGCTGTGTCAGCATCAGCTGGATACATGCAGACAGCACTGCCAACCGTGAAACTAGAATCTACCTTTCTCAAGATTCTTGAACTTCTTGACAAAGAAGTCACTTCTGCCCCTAAAATCCTCTTCCTGATCACTGGAGAAGTAGCCCTCTGAGTGGTAGCCAGCCCGTCGGGCAGCAAAACATTTCCTCATGGGCAAGGGAGAGAGACCTACAGCTTGCACAGCGTTTGCTTTCTAGCACAAGAAACAAACAGTCAAGTCTGAGCCTTACTGCTTCTGTAATAGCAACAGCATTGTTCAGAATCACATCTGGTGCTCCATCAGTAAAAAAAGAAAAATGCTTTGATTTTCTAGTGAAACTCCCAAGAAGAAATCCTGCATTGACATTCACTTTACAGGGTCTGGCTCTCAGTTTTATTGTAACTTCAAACCTTCTTTCATTATCATACCCTGCAAAGCTCTCGAATTAATTTTGGGAAAATGCTGACTGTTATTTGACCTTCCTTGGATTGTGTTCTTGATGAAGATCAGAGAAATGTGTCCACACACACTTTCACGTGTACACATGAAACCCTCACTCTGAATTTATTTTTGAGAAACTCAGTATTGATGGTTCTTATTAAATGTTACCAAATAAACTTAATTCTGGTCCATATTGGAAAATTTTTACTTATCTTGTAGCATCAAAGTTCATGTTATAATCTGATTATGATAAAATTTAATACTGGAACTTCTTAATAAAATGCAAACTGAAAGTGACACTTCATAACTACACTGTTTAGTCTGGACCATCATATGTCTTATTCTTGTTCATGGTCCCCTTCTAAGGGTCAAGTATGTATAAAGTTTCCACCTTTGTCTGCCCTATCAATATCACAGTTTCAAATACTTCTGAGAGAAGAGATTTCTACTTCAAGACCAAAACTACCTCTCAAGAAAATTTTAATATTCACAGATTTGAAACATTTCTCAGAATTAACCAGAAAAAAGTATTACTTTAGTATAATGAATTGTTTTTATAAAGTTCAGAGCCATACATGAGGCAGAGTTCAGTTTTAGTATTTTGCAGTGGCAAAAATCATTTTTATAATTTTGAATGGGGTAGGTTCTTTCTGAAGTGTTTTATCACAAAAAATTCACTTCTGACTGCCTACTTTTAAAGGAATGTCAGTTACATAAGGGGTAGCATCAAATATATTTTCATGTTGAATTTACTGATCAACTTTTAAGATAAGTACATTCCTGCAATCAATCAAAGAGCTCACTTTTACAAAAGCATTTTCCCATGTAAAGAAGGAAAGTTATGTATGCAGAGCATAACAGTTCTGGCATTTTCACTAGTATTTGGCCTTTGTGAGTAGCGGGGGAATATATCTGCTGGGGATTCCCCACCCAATCACTCCCACACACAAAAACATGTAGATACTCAAGTAAAGTGCTCATTATTGTTATCCAGTCTCAACCAAAACTGAGATGTATCAACAAATTTCAGTAATAACTACCAATATCAAATTTCGTGGAAATCTGTTTGACCATTCTCAAAGCTGCATACAAATGGATGGATAGAGAAATTTTAACAGATGCTCTGCAGGGATGCAATACATCTAAAATACAATCAAGACCAGAGAAAAAAAATTACCACAACAAATCATTGTTCTCCATAGTTACAAAAAATGTACTTGTAAATTTCGACTCATAAGACTGAACAGGGCTGAAGCAAGGAAATTCTTGTAAAATCTGTAATTAACATCTGGTTTATAAATCACCTGGAGCACCAGTTCCTGTTCAGAACAACAGCCACACCTGTTAACATATCTAATAATAATGTCTAAGAGCTGTACCCGTATTATAGTACTAGTGTAAAAAGCCAGTCAAAATTCAGCAGGGAATCATTTCCTTAACTTCTTCCCTCCTATTTCCCACATAATTTTTCTGCCCCTTCCACATATCAGTCCCCTCAGCCTTTCCCACCCTTCCTCATTACCAGATCACTCTTTTAGTTCACACACCATGTCAAATTCTTGATTTGAATTTCTTAAAGCATAAAAAAACCTTAACCAAACTTCCTAGTTTAAGGGCATAACACAAACACGCACATTAAAAACTCAATCCAGTACTCTACAACATAAATCTAAGACTTCATAGGTAAAAAAATATTGCTCAAAACATGCCATCACACGAGAATATTAGCTAAGTTATGTTTATTAAATATCCACACCCATTTAATAACCTCCTCTGTGAGCACAAGCAAATACTATCCAACTGACTCAAAATCAGGGCATGACAAATGTTTTCTTTTGGCTCTGAGCCAGCCAATGAATGGAATAAATCACCTCTTGTAATATAAGACATGAAATGATAAGTAAATCATCAACCTTCATGACATACAGATAAACACATTCTGCAACACAAAAACTAAAATTTGTCATAAGCAATAAACATGCATATAAACCAAAGAACTGCAGTGTTACTTGGTAAGTCCATTCTTTGCATGTTTATAATGGTTTGCTGTCTAAACCTTCTAATCAGCATACAAGCAAAACTTCTTGCCACTTAATGGCACTGCAAATTAAATGTCAACCAACCATTCAGTGTGATATAATTGCAGATGACAATGAAACAAATATTTATTGTGTTCAGAATCGCCATCACCTGAGATAAGCAATTTTGTGACATAATCACTATTGAGCTGGGATTTTTAGCAAAGTAAAAATGGACAGGCTATAAAATAATAACCAGTATTCTTAAAAATTACAGGTGCCGCAAAAATAATTCTATGCACCACGGTAACCTGGTATCCAGGATTTGCCAAGCCCTGTTTTAGGTAATAGGTTTAGAAGTGTTAAACTAAGTTAGTTCAGTACTCTGTACAGGGAATATCAACAGCAACCTCTGTACCAATTTGTTTCTTCATGAGGATGTTAACTGTTACCTTACTGTCTTCAACATTTGGTAATGATGGGATTCTTTTGTGTCTTACAGCGTATTTGCTGAAATTCTCTTGCAGTTTTGACAAAGCAGCATCTTTGTTACCAGTAAAATGTATCATGAAGGCCATGGGTTGTGGCTTTGGAGATTCAGAAGATGGTGATGCATCTTTAATTATATCTGATACATCACTGGACTCCATGGTCACAGCACCCACAACTGGAGTGCAATCTTTGTGCAGGTCCTCCACAGACATTACTTATCCACACACATCTCACACACAACACCTGAAATGATAAGTATTGCTTCCAACCAATCCTGTCCGTGCTGTGGTCTTCACATACATTTTCTCCTGGAGATGTTCTCACCTGAATTCTACATTTCTCCCCTTATGTATCTGCACTTTCCTTCCTCAACTGGCCCTACCACTAAGATAAAACAACAAATACAAATGTATAAAGTGAAGATTTCACGGCGACTGAAGTTGATGAAAGACACCCGGGATACAAGCTGCAGCAAGCGTGTAACAAAGGATCAGACTGGTTACCAAGCAGCCCTGAGGATGAGAGCACAGATTGTTCTCGAAACATTGGCAGAAGATATGGTTTATTCACCATTGAGCCACCTGATGCGGCTTGTAACCCGGGAGTCTTTCATCAAATACAAATGTACTAGGAATGATAGTTATATATTGTTGTATAATAAACTGACAACACCACACTGTGACTGTGAGTAGTTCAAGTTTGTGGTGTTGTTGGCTCATGGAATGAGGAAACTCTGATAATACACAATTAAATGATCTGCTTCAGGCCAGCAGCTGAACCAGAAATGACTAATGTCACAACAGAATACGTACTGGCAACAGTCTCCCTTCACTCACCAGCTGCCACTCTGCCTTTTAACACACACTGCAGCAATGACATTTTAAAACTGCTACACAAGATTCATTTGAAAGCTGAGAGAATATTAAAATTGTTCTTTAGAAAATAAGTAAAGAGTAAAGTTTCCCGTGTCTAAGTGCAATGTACTAGGGTGTGGAGGTATATATTAAATATCCCAGTTTCACACTCCAGCTGCCTTGCCTCAGGTAGAACAACCAACTATATAACAGGCTAGACATCAAGAAGACGTCTTTTTAATGTGGATTAAATTTTAGAGTTGGTTCTGGATCAGGTCCATTGTGGCTTTTGTATTAGCTGAAATGAACCTTTGGGTTTTATTGTCAATGGCCCATGAAAGGTTTTGTTATCATCAGACATGGTGACATAATCTGCTACCAAACTTCCAAAACATGTACAGTCCATTCTTGTATGACTGCTTTTGATCTACTTCACTGACCAGAGAGAATGAATTTGTATATAACAACAACCAAGAATTGTAATTATCCAGGAATCTGCCTAGAGGTATAAGAAAAACTGGTGATATATAGGTATAGATCTGCTACTTTCCAATGGCCAATGGGTTCAGGCTCCACTTAGAAGCATACTAAAAATTGTAATATCAACCTGCTAATCTGCTCAGTTAGAAAGTACAGACACTAAACTATCAGAATATGCAAAGAATGAAAAGGTCAACCTATGATAAAATAACTTCCACAACATTGAAATAATGTTTACAATTTTTGCTGCAATATGCATGAAGTGTGAAATGAAACCAGCTTCAGTGTTGCAAAAGTTATTTCATTAGTATCTTAAATGCCTAGTGGCTGAGTATACCCTGACTTCATCCGTGTTGTTACCTAACATTTAAGGTTATCCCATAAGTTTATTACATTCTATGTGTCTGTGAAAATCAATGGTTTCCTTTGGTATACATTTAATGAATTTCATCCAACATTCCCTTCGCAAATTTCAAAACGTCCAAAAATGATTTATCTGACACACCCTTCAACAATTAGAATTATCTGATTGAAAGTATTAGTCTTCATACAAATATTTTATTTCGGTTCACCTTACTACTGCACTCGATTGATCAGAAGGCAAAACAAATTGTTTCATAGCAATTTCGGCTCATATACCACATTAGGAAATAGAAGCCTAGTGGCCCAAGCATTAGATGAATAGTTCAACATATTGTACACAGTAATGTAAAAATGAATATATGTACCACATCAGAGTGCTTCCTAAACATGCTCAAAAGTACACTTCTTCACAATTTTACCATTACTGCAATTTACGGCACCATACAAAATGCAGATGCCACACCAGTACATATGACAACACCACTGCCTCCTTTTTCAGAGATTACCAACACCGTAGCCATGTTTCTATAACATTGATAAGAACGCAATTAATGACGTCTTGTAATTCATAATTTTATTGATTTTGCTTGAAACCTTACAGAACGGAGCGTATTAACGCCATTATGGTAGTTGTGTTTTATCTACTTTAAAGTGGCAGTTACATCAACACCTTCAAGTATTAAATTTTGATATTTTAATGCACATTGTATTAAGTTTATGGAGTACGAAGTGAGGCATATTGAATCTTAATTTAGTGTTTATTCATGTCTCAGGCACAGTTCCGTGTGATTTTATATACACGTTTGTGACTGCATTCTGTGTTAGGTCGTTAATAGCACGTACTGATAACTAAAATGATAGATCATGAAGACCATTTGTAATCGGTGGTTGTGCTTCCGATTGTTTCGTTTATCTGTTTTGTGGGAAAGTCAGTTGGTATGAAATTAACATAGATATACCTAATATATATTTTATAGTCTGTGGTGTTACCTATGTTCTGTGCTCCCTGAACCCATGTTTTTATCTTTGCATCATTAGTTGTGTCACCTGTGACTCAGAAAAGGTAGGGTTTTTATCCTACGCCAGAATTGGGATTATCAGCCATTAGTCTATTTCTGGCAGCCTAGTACAGGTTTGAATCGGCAATAAAACCAGTAAATAAGGTAGGTTTGTGTGTATCAGATAATGCTAAGAATTGTGGTAATTAATCACTCTAGGATTGTATAAATGACCTGAATCGGTTGCAATATGTATATGATAACAATTCCTAATTTCTTACCGATCATGCTGGCCAAAACTATCAGGAAAATTATTCCTTGATTTGGGTTGTGTGACGTAGGGCTTTATTTTCATGGAGCAGGCCAGTACAAATTAATGGCTGCTGAACAGGATATTGTTTTAGGGTGGCCACACACGCTACGACTTACCGGAAGGCCAGCCTTCCAAGATTGAAGTCGGAAGGTAAGCTCAAACCTCTATGAGAGTCCACACACGTACAGACTTTGTCGCAGTTTTGTGCTCAGTCTTTCATTCCTGAGTTGATGCTACAACATGTTCAGTGAAGTCGATGCGATTGTAATCGGTCTTTCTGTTACATTAATGTCCAAAAAACAAAAGAAAGCTAAGTCATTTTAAGTGGGTCAGAAGTTGGTTAGATATACCAAAACATTCTCGCGTAAATTTGTTGAATGAAATTCGGTTAGAGCCAACGGACTGGCATAACTACCTGGTTGTACAGAAAATCCATCATGTGGAAATACTATAGAGATCGATCACATACTTCTCTGCTCGAGCCGCTTCTTTTACCCTGTGACACTTTCTTCAACTCTTTCCTGTAAGAACTGCGCATATTGTTGATCCTCTTTACTACGGTATCCTTTGTTGCAGTACGATCCACTTCCTGCATTTTTTCAATAAGCTTCAAATATGCAGAGTTTCTGAAGTGTTTGTTGGAGTACTGCTTGCTTTTCACGTCATATATACAAGCAAGGCAGAGACCTGTACAACTCAATGAATTCGGAGATGATTTCATGAGGCCAGGATCTCATGTCGGCCAACACTCCTATAATGGTACTATAAAAACTGATGAAACAAACAGGGCTGTATATTGCTGTGTTGGCTGATTGAAATGACTAAATGCTACAAGCCTTGCCTCTACCCTCCTGTCTCCCCACACATGTTACGACTTGTAAACATCCAGTGTTTAAGCTTTGTATCCATAACCTACGTATATGTAAAGCAAGTTTTGTATTTATATTTAAAATTCTGAGGTTTATGTATATTAATTTGTAAAATTATTTTTCATACTTGTATTGCAGAATCTGAAATTTATGTACATTGATATGTGAAATACGTCCTTGTACTTGTGTTAAAAGTTCTGAAGTGTATGTATATTGTATGAAATGACATGTTCTACATCCTTTGGTTGAGTCCTAAGAAGGATCTATGGAATGTAAATAAACTCTACTCTACTGTACTCTAAACCTTGAGGTAAAAAATCTAGCGACTATAGATTTATTGGAGGCTTGGTTTCCAGCCAAATTCAACACATGCTTCAGTTTGCTGGAAGGTTGGCCTTCTCAGACGTAAGCCTTCAGGTAAGCCGTAGCGTGTGGCCACCCTTAGATTTGATTGTTTTGTCATTAAAATCCAGAATTCCTTTGTGCTTAATTTCATGTTCATTAGCATTTGAGGAGTAATGAATTATTTGCTGGTCACAGTTGCCGCGTTGTCTGAGGTGTGGGCCTTGTTAGCTTCGACACTGGGACCGTAAGTTCGAATCCCACTTAAGGCATGGATATTTGATAACTCGTCCAAGGAGTCCTACCACATGTCTAAAGTAGATCAAATAACCTCCCACATGGGAAAAGGTCAAGGGCTGTGGAACCGCAGATAATAATAATAAAGAATAATGTGATGGAGTATCACACCTCTGTAAAAAAAACAACTTTGCTTTCAGGGCAGTTCTGCATTTCTGAAGAAGGAAAAAAACTTTAAAAATAATATGGACAGTGAACTGACTGCAGATGTCAATTTCACTTCAAGGATTAAGAACTTCCAGGAGAGTGTAAATGGAATTGGAGAACTGTTGAAAAATGCTTTTGAGAAAGATGTCTATGAGAGGCTTGATATAGGTGATCGTGTAAAATATGATTTATTCTTATCATATACTCTCAATTCCTTATTTTGGCTTTACCTGCGTACTCAAGGTGAGGATCCTGCCAAACATGCTGTTAAGTCTGAAATTGATAGAGTGAGAGATTATAATACTAAAGCTAAACAAGTTCAAGATCGTAGAACCATTATGCCTCGCATTGATGTAGCTGCTGCTCAGAGGTTCATTAGAAGTGGATTGTGGCAACCAAACCAAAGTGATAACCAGAATGCAGATATTAATGTTGAAGGAGCAGAGGGAACAGGTGAAGAAGATAATGACACTGTCCCTGAGCACCAGTAGAGTATCAATTTTAACAAAGTGAGTTATGGTTATTAACACGCATAAAGACTACAGACTAGTGTGAGTGCATATAGACAGCACACACACACAAAAAATCCTCTTTATTTTGTTACTACTTGACTCCATTGTTTTAAAAATGTGAAATTGAAGTTTAAGATTAATTAGAAATGTGTGAATATGTGAATTTTAATTGATGTATGCTGCTGAACAGTGCAGTGTAGACCATTCTTTCTTTTACCAAAATAAGAAAATAATGTATAAAAAGTTTCTGCAGTGCACAAATGTATTAAGATCTGTGCAAATACTCTGCCCTCGTAAGTGTTTGTGATGAATTACCCTTCATGGCCTCTGCATACTAAGCAAAGTGAAGGAAGCTATTTCAGAGGTAAGAACTCTTATAATGTTTTACTCATAAGTATAAAACAACAATAACAACAACATTAAAGTAGCCCCTGTTCCTAAAAGTGACACAATGAAGAAGTACAGGGAGCTGTAAACCATTTCTCTATATCATACTTTACAGACCTTGGCACTAAATGGGGATGATTTTTTATGTTCTGATGCTTCAGGTATTTCCCTGTAGGGTTCTTATTAGTCATCAGTTTCTTCGTAAATGGACCACTCTCACTACACACTATCCTATTAATAAGGACACCATAGTCGGGGCTAATGGGACATCAGGGAATCACCTTGATGATAGAGGCATTTGATTATTGTAATATTTGCACAACACTAATGATTTATCTGACTTCCTATTTTGGTAGGATAGGATGAAACAGTAATTGCCTACAAAGTTGTATGACAGAAATATTTTAAAATCTGGCACTTTAGTGAAAGAAAGTTGAGCTCCTAATAAAATATTGAAGTTGGGCAAAGTAATTACCAAATTTGGTAGCATAAAAATCAAGTAGGGTAATTTGATATTTTACGTATTTTCAATATAAAATAATATGATTTCATTTTGATTTAAAAATGTGATGATGTAAAGTTATATTCAGTACTTCATTATACTAAAAAATGTAATTGTAAATATTATTTAAATATCGTAAAGTCAAGAGTTCTTCATGATTTCTGTATGTCTGTAGCGTATGAAATAAATGAAAAATGATATATTTTGTTATTTTCTAAAATTTAAAATTACATTGAATGTTTTATGGGAGCCAGATTTTAATCATTTGCCTCGAGGGCATAAAACTGATTTTTTCCTTTGGCCTTGTCTTTCTCTTAGTACATACATTATAAACACAAGTAAAATGAACAGGACACCACTGTGAAGTAAAAGTTTCCTGCAGTAAATCCAATTTAGCCTGGTTGCAGGTCTGATAGTGTTGATCAAGTCCTTTACAGCCTGGTAGTTGAAGTTCCCTTGAAGGCTATTGCTCCCTCCCTATTGTAATTACATCAGTAACATCTTTCTACTTAGTGCTTTAAGATCTCTTACATCACCAACTGTAACATTGGGTTTGAATAGATTAGTAATATCATATCCTGTAAAGCTGAATGATGTCATGTTAAGCAAATCTCTTGCCACCACACTTAAGAGGTATGAAGTGACAGAAAGATGGAGAAAATTTCATAATGAGGGCCTCCATAATTGGTACCCTTCACCAGTGTTATTAGGATAAAATTACGGAGGGCAAGATGGGCACACGTAGTGCCCATGGTGGAGATGAGAAATGTGTAAAAACATTTTGATTAGAAATGCATACAAAATTTTGCTTGGAAGTCAGGCACAAATTGTAGGCTAATAATGAACTGAATCTTAGAGAAAGATTGTGGAAAATGTGAACTGGACTCAGCTGCTCAGTGACAGGCCTTCACGAACACATTAATGGAGCTTCAGGCTTCGTACAAGCAAGAAATTCTTTACAGGCTTGAATGACCCTTCAAGTTTCCAAAAAATAACTGTTCCTGTGGAGTTAGTTACATGTCAGTTGAAAACAGAATGTGGCATAATGAATCATAGTCATTATGATTCTACTCAACACATACAGTTTGTCTGCTACCTGCTGACAAAAGCCATAAAACATCAGTCAGGACAGCTAGCTTCAACCCTGATGATGGAGGCAGCAACCACCTCTGACACATCACCACCATGAGAACCTGAAATCTCATCTATCAATATCCTGGTGCAAGCCAGTAAAATATGAAATGTATCTCTCTTTTATGGGGTAAACCCCTCAGTCAGTATGTTGTCAGAGGTCTGCTGTATAAGATGGCATGATTACAAAGGTATCAAGTATGGATATACATTTTTCAGTTCTGCCTTTTCTTTTGCCCTCAAGATCCTAACTACAATATTTTGCATACCATATGGCACTTCAATATATTAATAATTAAAAATTTTCAATTTACTGCTTACTCCTATTCAGTGCCAATGCTTGGTGGTGGACACGATGTGGCACTCTAACAGTGTTTGATTCTAGGAGATATTTTGTTATAGGTATAGATCTGCTACTTTCCAATGGCCAATGGGTTCAGGCTCCACTTAGAAGCATACTAAAAATTGTAATATCAACCTGCTAATCTGCTCAGTTAGAAAGTACAGACACTAAACTATCAGAATATGCAAAGAATGAAAAGGTCAACCTATGATAAAATAACTTCCACAACATTGAAATAATGTTTACAATTTTTGCTGCAATATGCATGAAGTGTGAAATGAAACCAGCTTCAGTGTTGCAAAAGTTATTTCATTAGTATCTTAAATGCCTAGTGGCTGAGTATACCCTGACTTCATCCGTGTTGTTACCTAACATTTAAGGTTATCCCATAAGTTTATTACATTCTATGTGTCTGTGAAAATCAATGGTTTCCTTTGGTATACATTTAATGAATTTCATCCAACATTCCCTTCGCAAATTTCAAAACGTCCAAAAATGATTTATCTGACACACCCTTCAACAATTAGAATTATCTGATTGAAAGTATTAGTCTTCATACAAATATTTTATTTCGGTTCACCTTACTACTGCACTCGATTGATCAGAAGGCAAAACAAATTGTTTCATAGCAATTTCGGCTCATATACCACATTAGGAAATAGAAGCCTAGTGGCCCAAGCATTAGATGAATAGTTCAACATATTGTACACAGTAATGTAAAAATGAATATATGTACCACATCAGAGTGCTTCCTAAACATGCTCAAAAGTACACTTCTTCACAATTTTACCATTACTGCAATTTACGGCACCATACAAAATGCAGATGCCACACCAGTACATATGACAACACCACTGCCTCCTTTTTCAGAGATTACCAACACCGTAGCCATGTTTCTATAACATTGATAAGAACGCAATTAATGACGTCTTGTAATTCATAATTTTATTGATTTTGCTTGAAACCTTACAGAACGGAGCGTATTAACGCCATTATGGTAGTTGTGTTTTATCTACTTTAAAGTGGCAGTTACATCAACACCTTCAAGTATTAAATTTTGATATTTTAATGCACATTGTATTAAGTTTATGGAGTACGAAGTGAGGCATATTGAATCTTAATTTAGTGTTTATTCATGTCTCAGGCACAGTTCCGTGTGATTTTATATACACGTTTGTGACTGCATTCTGTGTTAGGTCGTTAATAGCACGTACTGATAACTAAAATGATAGATCATGAAGACCATTTGTAATCGGTGGTTGTGCTTCCGATTGTTTCGTTTATCTGTTTTGTGGGAAAGTCAGTTGGTATGAAATTAACATAGATATACCTAATATATATTTTATAGTCTGTGGTGTTACCTATGTTCTGTGCTCCCTGAACCCATGTTTTTATCTTTGCATCATTAGTTGTGTCACCTGTGACTCAGAAAAGGTAGGGTTTTTATCCTACGCCAGAATTGGGATTATCAGCCATTAGTCTATTTCTGGCAGCCTAGTACAGGTTTGAATCGGCAATAAAACCAGTAAATAAGGTAGGTTTGTGTGTATCAGATAATGCTAAGAATTGTGGTAATTAATCACTCTAGGATTGTATAAATGACCTGAATCGGTTGCAATATGTATATGATAACAATTCCTAATTTCTTACCGATCATGCTGGCCAAAACTATCAGGAAAATTATTCCTTGATTTGGGTTGTGTGACGTAGGGCTTTATTTTCATGGAGCAGGCCAGTACAAATTAATGGCTGCTGAACAGGATATTGTTTTAGGGTGGCCACACACGCTACGACTTACCGGAAGGCCAGCCTTCCAAGATTGAAGTCGGAAGGTAAGCTCAAACCTCTATGAGAGTCCACACACGTACAGACTTTGTCGCAGTTTTGTGCTCAGTCTTTCATTCCTGAGTTGATGCTACAACATGTTCAGTGAAGTCGATGCGATTGTAATCGGTCTTTCTGTTACATTAATGTCCAAAAAACAAAAGAAAGCTAAGTCATTTTAAGTGGGTCAGAAGTTGGTTAGATATACCAAAACATTCTCGCGTAAATTTGTTGAATGAAATTCGGTTAGAGCCAACGGACTGGCATAACTACCTGGTTGTACAGAAAATCCATCATGTGGAAATACTATAGAGATCGATCACATACTTCTCTGCTCGAGCCGCTTCTTTTACCCTGTGACACTTTCTTCAACTCTTTCCTGTAAGAACTGCGCATATTGTTGATCCTCTTTACTACGGTATCCTTTGTTGCAGTACGATCCACTTCCTGCATTTTTTCAATAAGCTTCAAATATGCAGAGTTTCTGAAGTGTTTGTTGGAGTACTGCTTGCTTTTCACGTCATATATACAAGCAAGGCAGAGACCTGTACAACTCAATGAATTCGGAGATGATTTCATGAGGCCAGGATCTCATGTCGGCCAACACTCCTATAATGGTACTATAAAAACTGATGAAACAAACAGGGCTGTATATTGCTGTGTTGGCTGATTGAAATGACTAAATGCTACAAGCCTTGCCTCTACCCTTCTGTCTCCCCACACATGTTACGACTTGTAAACATCCAGTGTTTAAGCTTTGTATCCATAACCTACGTATATGTAAAGCAAGTTTTGTATTTATATTTAAAATTCTGAGGTTTATGTATATTAATTTGTAAAATTATTTTTCATACTTGTATTGCAGAATCTGAAATTTATGTACATTGATATGTGAAATACGTCCTTGTACTTGTGTTAAAAGTTCTGAAGTGTATGTATATTGTATGAAATGACATGTTCTACATCCTTTGGTTGAGTCCTAAGAAGGATCTATGGAATGTAAATAAACTCTACTCTACTGTACTCTAAACCTTGAGGTAAAAAATCTAGCGACTATAGATTTATTGGAGGCTTGGTTTCCAGCCAAATTCAACACATGCTTCAGTTTGCTGGAAGGTTGGCCTTCTCAGACGTAAGCCTTCAGGTAAGCCGTAGCGTGTGGCCACCCTTAGATTTGATTGTTTTGTCATTAAAATCCAGAATTCCTTTGTGCTTAATTTCATGTTCATTAGCATTTGAGGAGTAATGAATTATTTGCTGGTCACAGTTGCCGCGTTGTCTGAGGTGTGGGCCTTGTTAGCTTCGACACTGGGACCGTAAGTTCGAATCCCACTTAAGGCATGGATATTTGATAACTCGTCCAAGGAGTCCTACCACATGTCTAAAGTAGATCAAATAACCTCCCACATGGGAAAAGGTCAAGGGCTGTGGAACCGCAGATAATAATAATAAAGAATAATGTGATGGAGTATCACACCTCTGTAAAAAAAACAACTTTGCTTTCAGGGCAGTTCTGCATTTCTGAAGAAGGAAAAAAACTTTAAAAATAATATGGACAGTGAACTGACTGCAGATGTCAATTTCACTTCAAGGATTAAGAACTTCCAGGAGAGTGTAAATGGAATTGGAGAACTGTTGAAAAATGCTTTTGAGAAAGATGTCTATGAGAGGCTTGATATAGGTGATCGTGTAAAATATGATTTATTCTTATCATATACTCTCAATTCCTTATTTTGGCTTTACCTGCGTACTCAAGGTGAGGATCCTGCCAAACATGCTGTTAAGTCTGAAATTGATAGAGTGAGAGATTATAATACTAAAGCTAAACAAGTTCAAGATCGTAGAACCATTATGCCTCGCATTGATGTAGCTGCTGCTCAGAGGTTCATTAGAAGTGGATTGTGGCAACCAAACCAAAGTGATAACCAGAATGCAGATATTAATGTTGAAGGAGCAGAGGGAACAGGTGAAGAAGATAATGACACTGTCCCTGAGCACCAGTAGAGTATCAATTTTAACAAAGTGAGTTATGGTTATTAACACGCATAAAGACTACAGACTAGTGTGAGTGCATATAGACAGCACACACACACAAAAAATCCTCTTTATTTTGTTACTACTTGACTCCATTGTTTTAAAAATGTGAAATTGAAGTTTAAGATTAATTAGAAATGTGTGAATATGTGAATTTTAATTGATGTATGCTGCTGAACAGTGCAGTGTAGACCATTCTTTCTTTTACCAAAATAAGAAAATAATGTATAAAAAGTTTCTGCAGTGCACAAATGTATTAAGATCTGTGCAAATACTCTGCCCTCGTAAGTGTTTGTGATGAATTACCCTTCATGGCCTCTGCATACTAAGCAAAGTGAAGGAAGCTATTTCAGAGGTAAGAACTCTTATAATGTTTTACTCATAAGTATAAAACAACAATAACAACAACATTAAAGTAGCCCCTGTTCCTAAAAGTGACACAATGAAGAAGTACAGGGAGCTGTAAACCATTTCTCTATATCATACTTTACAGACCTTGGCACTAAATGGGGATGATTTTTTATGTTCTGATGCTTCAGGTATTTCCCTGTAGGGTTCTTATTAGTCATCAGTTTCTTCGTAAATGGACCACTCTCACTACACACTATCCTATTAATAAGGACACCATAGTCGGGGCTAATGGGACATCAGGGAATCACCTTGATGATAGAGGCATTTGATTATTGTAATATTTGCACAACACTAATGATTTATCTGACTTCCTATTTTGGTAGGATAGGATGAAACAGTAATTGCCTACAAAGTTGTATGACAGAAATATTTTAAAATCTGGCACTTTAGTGAAAGAAAGTTGAGCTCCTAATAAAATATTGAAGTTGGGCAAAGTAATTACCAAATTTGGTAGCATAAAAATCAAGTAGGGTAATTTGATATTTTACGTATTTTCAATATAAAATAATATGATTTCATTTTGATTTAAAAATGTGATGATGTAAAGTTATATTCAGTACTTCATTATACTAAAAAATGTAATTGTAAATATTATTTAAATATCGTAAAGTCAAGAGTTCTTCATGATTTCTGTATGTCTGTAGCGTATGAAATAAATGAAAAATGATATATTTTGTTATTTTCTAAAATTTAAAATTACATTGAATGTTTTATGGGAGCCAGATTTTAATCATTTGCCTCGAGGGCATAAAACTGATTTTTTCCTTTGGCCTTGTCTTTCTCTTAGTACATACATTATAAACACAAGTAAAATGAACAGGACACCACTGTGAAGTAAAAGTTTCCTGCAGTAAATCCAATTTAGCCTGGTTGCAGGTCTGATAGTGTTGATCAAGTCCTTTACAGCCTGGTAGTTGAAGTTCCCTTGAAGGCTATTGCTCCCTCCCTATTGTAATTACATCAGTAACATCTTTCTACTTAGTGCTTTAAGATCTCTTACATCACCAACTGTAACATTGGGTTTGAATAGATTAGTAATATCATATCCTGTAAAGCTGAATGATGTCATGTTAAGCAAATCTCTTGCCACCACACTTAAGAGGTATGAAGTGACAGAAAGATGGAGAAAATTTCATAATGAGGGCCTCCATAATTGGTACCCTTCACCAGTGTTATTAGGATAAAATTACGGAGGGCAAGATGGGCACACGTAGTGCCCATGGTGGAGATGAGAAATGTGTAAAAACATTTTGATTAGAAATGCATACAAAATTTTGCTTGGAAGTCAGGCACAAATTGTAGGCTAATAATGAACTGAATCTTAGAGAAAGATTGTGGAAAATGTGAACTGGACTCAGCTGCTCAGTGACAGGCCTTCACGAACACATTAATGGAGCTTCAGGCTTCGTACAAGCAAGAAATTCTTTACAGGCTTGAATGACCCTTCAAGTTTCCAAAAAATAACTGTTCCTGTGGAGTTAGTTACATGTCAGTTGAAAACAGAATGTGGCATAATGAATCATAGTCATTATGATTCTACTCAACACATACAGTTTGTCTGCTACCTGCTGACAAAAGCCATAAAACATCAGTCAGGACAGCTAGCTTCAACCCTGATGATGGAGGCAGCAACCACCTCTGACACATCACCACCATGAGAACCTGAAATCTCATCTATCAATATCCTGGTGCAAGCCAGTAAAATATGAAATGTATCTCTCTTTTATGGGGTAAACCCCTCAGTCAGTATGTTGTCAGAGGTCTGCTGTATAAGATGGCATGATTACAAAGGTATCAAGTATGGATATACATTTTTCAGTTCTGCCTTTTCTTTTGCCCTCAAGATCCTAACTACAATATTTTGCATACCATATGGCACTTCAATATATTAATAATTAAAAATTTTCAATTTACTGCTTACTCCTATTCAGTGCCAATGCTTGGTGGTGGACACAATGTGGTACTCTAACAGGGTTTGATTCTAGGAGATATTTTGTTAGAAACTGGGGTGACTAGATTCAATTCCTGGCAGGATGTTTAAAATTGTCTCAACATTTCATCCCAAATGGGGTCCGAGACCTTCCAAATATCCTATCTGATAGACTTTGCATCCATCACAGAAATTTGCAAATGAGACTTATTTAAAAAGTATCTCATCAAGTTTATCTCCAGTTCCTCTGTGTTGCAGACACTCTCTTCTGAAGAGGACAGGGAAGAGGTTGGCTCCTGCAAATTTATGTCCGCAGATGAACCTTCCCTTACGAGTAGTGACTTCTCCTGATACTACTGCTGCTCTGGGGTGTCACATTCACAATATTCCAAATGCTGTCCTGCCTCAGGGCAAAGTGTTTGCTCTTGCCACACTTTTTGTACTTGCCTATCTTGCTGGTTGGCTTATTTCATTAATTCATCTCCCACCGTTACTTGGTATGATTATGACTGGTATCATGCTGCGTAACATATGCTTCTTCCACATGACAGGCCCTTATGCGACTGCTGTGTCCACATTGAAGTAAGAACTGTGGGTGTCTGGATTTCTCCTCTAGCTTCTTCATCTAGACCAGTTCTGGGGCACACCCAGCCTCCTATCTGATGGGTACCAAGGTCCTTCCACAGGGATAAAGTGTGGCCAGAGCATGATGCTGACCACTCACCCCATCTAGTGCCTAGGTCAAGAATGAGGAGGAGCTATACCCCCAAGAGCATACATGGCATATAATGGGACAGCTTTATTTTATTTATTTATGTTACTGTATAATTCATAAGTCATTGTGTCAGCAACCTTTTAAGATGTGAAATATTTATTCAGGCAAATGAGATGAAGTGACACATGTATGATATATGAAATTATCTTTATTAATCTTTAGCCATTCACATGTCCCCTTCTTCTCATGTATGTGGTGTGATGGGACTGTGATTACAGGTAGGAGCTAATGTGTTTGCCAGACTAGATAAGTGGTAGGAGAACTCTTACCTCTAGTGGGATAACCACGAGTCACCATTAACTGGGCACTGTTCGACTATTACAATTGTATATTATTTCTTGTACCACCAGATTAATAGTTTGTTATAAATGCTTTCATGTACTTCTTTCACAATGGCAGTTTGAGCCTCGGTTATGTCTTGTGTACTACTTAATGGTTTCTTAATGATGGCCACCCAGTTTCAAGCCTTGATGAGGAAGGAGCTTTTTGAGTTGTTGGCTTCCCTTCCAGCTTTTGCACAGTCGTGTTAACTGACTCTGTCACCAACTATCAAGCTACTGCCCAATCATGCACCCAGGAATGGTAGCTATGCTGTGTTCGTGTTGCAGGTGTGCTGGTGTATCCCGTGGAATTTTGGAAATATAACGGTGTTTTGTGCATCTGTTATTCAATGGTATAAGACCATTACAATAATTGGAACATTTTTTAAACATCTGATGGTAGGTATATAGCAGATAGAAAAGCAATACCAGTAAACAATGATTTGGACATTTAGAATTGTAACTAACGTCATTCTACAGATTTGGGTTGCCATCCTTTGGCATTTGAATCCAGTTGACATCTTTATTATGTGTCTGTGAGATGCTTTTTAATGTTGTTATTCTATTTATGCTACTTTCTTGAACGTTGCATCCTCCCTTGGGGTTATGTAACTAACAATTTGCATGCATTTCTAGTTTTCTCTTACATGTTGCATGTCTCACCATCTCACCTTTCTTGATTGTCACCTAAACAGTGTTAAGTGAAGAGAACAAATTATGAAGCTTGCTGTACCATCCTTTTTACTCCCATTCTCCCTTATGTTTCTCTTTGCTATTGGATATTCTCAGCACTGTTATAATTATTTATTTGTAGTTGACATAACTAGAAATATTTCCAGTTGTGAAAACTAAGTTGTTTACTGCCAGGTCTTGATTTAGTATTGTAAAGGTAATTTGCCTCTGTGCCTAATCTCATGCCATGAAGATGTTAAATTTCTAAGAACTGGTGCTAGATGAAGTCTGTAGTTACAAATTTGAAAATAAATAAATACTGCAGGAATGTTGGCATTTGTGTTCTTCCCTTTTAGAACCTTGTCTAACAATTGACATTCTCTTACAGATAGCTAGATGGATCTTTGTGGTATATCCATGGATGGTTATGGCATTCAGATGGATCATTGTGGCAATCAGATGGTTCCTAAATTACAATCGTAATTCTGTTATTGAAGATGTAGATTCCGACAATGAAGAATCATACCACACAGCGTGAGTAGTTTCTTTTTCAGATATATGTGTTTGTATATAAGAAGGGGGGGGGGGGGTTGAAGAGGAATGTGGAATGGAATGACTTAAAGTTAATCTCCTTTAACACACTTACTCCCATGCCTTGAGATACAAACCATTTAAGAATTTCTTCAGTGTATGTACATATTTTTGGGACTTTAAATTTCTCTGTGAGAAAGCACTTTTGTGGGCAGAACATTTTCCAGGAGGTATATATGGCAGAGTTGCAGACGGTGTCTCTGTTTCATCCTTGGATCTGAAAAGACAAAAAAATACTGGTGTTACATAAAACAAGATGTCAAATATGTTTAGTTACAAAGAAAGTTCAGTTTACAAAATACTTATATGGTATTTGGCAGAATGTAATTCACCCCAGAAAATACTGTAAAGTCCAATTATGAAAGACCTATGTGAAGGAAAGTATCAGTCTTGTATTGTCTTACGTAGTTTACATCTTTAATATAATCTTATTTTTTGGAGCAAATTATGTATAGTGTGACATCTTAATTTTGAAGCCTCTTATGACCAAGTAAAACTGTAGGGGGTAGTCCTGTACCTCTACATTGGGATGCAAATCACTGCTGGTCTGTACTTGGATGCGAGGATGTATTACAGTCCTTGTCTTCATACTACCTGGCTAGTAAAATTAAGATTATTTAGCTGGTGAGTATGAAATTTCAAGACTACTGCTGTCTCACCTCAGGTATCAGGAAGAGAGAGAAATTACTATCAGTGACAAGCAAACTCACTGACAAAATGTGATAATGATATTGTGCCTGAAATTCCTACACTTTTACAACACAATGCAAATAAAAAATACATACTTCTCACAGCCAGTTTAACCACTAGGCATGTTAAGCAGTCACCTAGGGTACCAGTGCATAAATGAATAAAAAAATTAATAAGAAATAGCATAAAACAATAATAATAGTCATCTAAAAGAAGAAAGGGAAAGGAGGAATGAATAAACGTGTTCGTGTTTGCAGCTTTGTAATATGCCAACAACAATACTTCGTATCATGTACAAGTAGTCGATGTGTATGTATCGAATTTGACATTGTGACCTGACAAACATATTGCCTCTTGAGCAGCACATTTAGTCATCTTCAACTGCACAAAAACTGTTGTGCTAACAGGTTCTGTTTCACTTTGGTTTAACTGCCTTTACTCCTGATAAGATGGATGCATCATTGCATGCAAGTTGGACCTGCCATTTGATTCAACTGTGACAGACTGGCTAAACTATACTTAAAGGAAAATGGATAAAGGCAAAAGTGCAAGGCTTTCCTTGATTTCAACAGTCAAAAGTATACATTGTGAGAAGCCAGCCAATCAGAGATGTTCTCTGAGGGGTGAAACCTCATAACTAGAAGTGACTGACTGAAATCTGCAATTGAGTTGTGTTGAATTTTAAATCAAATGAGAAACTCAGAAGGGTGTTTTAGAAGCTGTGGTCATCCAAGATTTTTAAACTTACACATGTTTGGATACCAGTTATTAAACAGAGCAGATGTCTCTTCATAAATCAATCAAATTTATGACTATAAAAGAATTTTGGAACCAACTTTAAGAAATTATATTATATGAATAGTTCATAAATAAACTGAGGCTGAGTGTGTTGTATGGTGAAATGTATGAATTCTAGTTGTGATAGTTAACAGGCAAGTGTATCCAGTTTTAAGAGACATTCTGTTTATAATAGAAAAGGGACGAGTCATGAAGATTCTCATCAAAACCACATTCAACCCTGATTTAGCACGTCCATTGTTGACATTAACTAACCTATTCCTTGTAATATTAAAGGTAGGAAGACTGTATACAAGGTTGGATATCATTTGTATGAGGTTGAAATTGGCAACAACCAAGGAAATATGAGTCCAATTGTTTTTTATTTGTAAGAAAATAGTAAAAAAAAAGTACTTTTGTATATTTAACAACTAAAATACTCCATAGGGCACAGTCATTGAGAAGCTGATAATAGGCTCGGCTAGTCAAGGTATTATATTCTTTTTATGGAAATGATTGTCTGGTTTGCTTTAGCTCACAGCCAGTCCCTACCCTGCACCAGATCAGTCCAATCCAGGTTTTATTTCCCTAAAATAGGTTTTAATATTGGCATATACTACTACCTGTGCCAAGCCCTAAAAGGCCTCAAAAGCTTTATAACCAATTTTTTCTAAGCACTTATCATGTTCCCCATGCATTCTACGAGACCCACCAACCTTAACCTGGATTACATCATCCTGATAATACTGGAAGGAAACCAACTGTGGAGATTTTCATGCAAAACCCCTGAATCTGACAGACCACATTTCACTCCCATACCAAGCAACAGTTAAGAGTGTAGTGTTTCATATTTTAATCTTTGTGTCTTTAGATGGAAAAATGAATCCATGGGGTAGGACTGTCTGAAGAAAATACACGAGCACTTATTCAGCATATTACAATCTTCAGTTTGTATTATACAGCCAGGTTCACCAACTTCCAGTTTTGTGCACCCCTTTTGTTAGCTGAGCGTCACTCGTGTGTAAAGGCATACAGTCCATGAAATTAGTAGATTGAAGATCGTTTTTAAGAATTATTTCACGATTCGTTTACAACGTACTCTTATGAAAAAATAAGAAGTAATCGACTGAGTAGAGAAAGTAAACCAATTTATGGCAGATATTTTAAATATGTGCATTTGGTTCTGTTTTGTTGGCATGATGTTCTTTGTTCCTCGTAGTTAATACTCGTGACTTCGTAGCGTGGTGTTGGAAGGTACTTATGTAGTAATAAAATATAGATATTGTTCAGTGTGAATGATTTCCATTGTAATAGAGTGTGGCAACTGATACAGATTACTATTTAAGTGACTGTGTATATTTATTGCGTTGACTTCTATTTTACGAACGCCTAAAAATGTCTGTTGAGAATTGGGTAAATATGAATTGTGTTTGCGCAACCACGTGCTGCATAAAATTCTCCATCTCTTGTGGAGTAGAAGATTCCAGAATCTTGCAGTGTGCATTATGTTAAAACAATATGAAAAGTGTTATTATGAAGGGTTATTTCTGCTGTTAAACATTGAGTCACTGATTAGATTATAAAGATGCACACAACATTCTTGAATAGAAGTTAAAGTGAATAATACCGTTCTGCACTGGTGTCGAAATGATAGAATTTAGTTACATTGATGTGTAATTACTTTTTATGGAAGGAAGGATTAAGGCGAGTTTTAATCCAGATTAACTATTTTCTGTTTATTTTGTGATCGGCTTATGTTTAGGTGAAGGATGCTGCTATATGTGGGCCTATACAAAATCGCGTTTCGTGTTTGAAATTTACAGGAGGATAATGTGCACAGAATTATCTCTGTTCCATCATAATCTGTATTTGGTCTTGAGATGTGAATTCAAGCAACACACTTATAAATGTTTAATATAAGATTTGTATAAATTATTGAAATGTGAGAAGAGACTAGTAGGTTATACATGAGAAGCCAGCCTATCAGAGATGTTCTCTGAGGGGTGAAGCCTCATACGTAGAAGGGACTGACTGAAATCTTCCAGTGAGTTGTGAGGAATTTTAAATCAAATCAGAAACTGAGAAGGTTGTTTTAGAAGCTGTGGTCTTCCAAGATTTTTAAACATACACATGTTTGGATACCAGTTATTAAACAGAGCAGATGTCTCTTCATAAATCAATCAAATTTATGACTATAAAAGAATTTTGGAACCAACTTTAAGAAATTATATTATATGAATAGTTCATAAATAAACTGAGGCAAGCAGTTTAAAAATTGGGTCAGGTTAATTTGATGTGTTTGAGGTTGCAGTACATTAAGCTGTATGAACATTTATTTGTATTTGATAAATTATGAGTGAATGTGTTGTATGGTGGAATGTATGAATTCAAGTTGTGATAGTGTATCCAGTTTTAAGAGGCATTCTGTTTATAATAGAAAAGGGACCAGTCATGATGATACCTTACTTCTCATCAAAACCACATTCAACCCTGATTTAGCACGTCCATTGTTGACATTAACTAACCTATTCCTTGTAATATTAAAGGTAGGAAGACTGTATACAAGGTTGGATATCATTTGTATGAGGTTGAAATTGGCAACAACCAAGGAAATATGAGTCCAATTGTTTTTTATTTGTAAGAAAATAGTAAAAAAAAAGTACTTTTGTATATTTAACAACTAAAATACTCCATAGGGCACAGTCATTGAGAAGCTGATAATAGGCTCGGCTAGTCAAGGTATTATATTCTTTTTATGGAAATGATTGTCTGGTTTGCTTTAGCTCACAGCCAGTCCCTACCCTGCACCAGATCAGTCCAATCCAGGTTTTATTTCCCTAAAATAGGTTTTAATATTGGCATATACTACTACCTGTGCCAAGCCCTAAAAGGCCTCAAAAGCTTTATAACCAATTTTTTCTAAGCACTTATCATGTTCCCCATGCATTCTACGAGACCCACCAACCTTAACCTGGATTACATCATCCTGATAATACTGGAAGGAAACCAACTGTGGAGATTTTCATGCAAAACCCCTGAATCTGACAGACCACATTTCACTCCCATACCAAGCAACAGTTAAGAGTGTAGTGTTTCATATTTTAATCTTTGTGTCTTTAGATGGAAAAATGAATCCATGGGGTAGGACTGTCTGAAGAAAATACACGAGCACTTATTCAGCATATTACAATCTTCAGTTTGTATTATACAGCCAGGTTCACCAACTTCCAGTTTTGTGCACCCCTTTTGTTAGCTGAGCGTCACTCGTGTGTAAAGGCATACAGTCCATGAAATTAGTAGATTGAAGATCGTGTTTAAGAATTATTTCACGATTCGTTTACAATGTACTCTTCTGAAAAAATAAGAAGTGATCGACTGAGTACAGAAAGTAAATTAATTTATGGCAGATATTTTAAATATGTGCATTTGGTTCTGTTTTGTTGGCATGATGTTCTTTGTTCCTCGTAGTTAATACTCGTGACTTCGTAGCGTGGTGTTGGAAGGTACTTATGTAGTAATAAAATATAGATATTGTTCAGTGTGAATGATTTCCATTGTAATAGAGTGTGGCAACTGATACAGATTACTATTTAAGTGACTGTGTATATTTATTGCGTTGACTTCTATTTTACGAACGCCTAAAAATGTCTGTTGAGAATTGGGTAAATATGAATTGTGTTTGCGCAACCACGTGCTGCATAAAATTCTCCATCTCTTGTGGAGTAGAAGATTCCAGAATCTTGCAGTGTGCATTATGTTAAAACAATATGAAAAGTGTTATTATGAAGGGTTATTTCTGCTGTTAAACATTGAGTCACTGATTAGATTATAAAGATGCACACAACATTCTTGAATAGAAGTTAAAGTGAATAATACCGTTCTGCACTGGTGTCGAAATGATAGAATTTAGTTACATTGATGTGTAATTACTTTTTATGGAAGGAAGGATTAAGGCGAGTTTTAATCCAGATTAACTATTTTCTGTTTATTTTGTGATCGGCTTATGTTTAGGTGAAGGATGCTGCTATATGTGGGCCTATACAAAATCGCGTTTCGTGTTTGAAATTTACAGGAGGATAATGTGCACAGAATTATCTCTGTTCCATCATAATCTGTATTTGGTCTTGAGATGTGAATTCAAGCAACACACTTATAAATGTTTAATATAAGATTTGTATAAATTATTGAAATGTGAGAAGAGACTAGTAGGTTATACAATAATTCTCTCTCAAATGATAATTTTTTTAGAAAATTATGAATAAGATACTGCAGGCAGTGTAAATCATTCTGTGTAATAATTTTAAGTTGAGACAAGCATCAGTTTTTTTAAACTTATAAAGACAATGCAAATTTATCTGTGATGCTTAACTAAGCACCATGCTATGAAGACATGGGGGAATTTAATTATAGTTTCATTCCGTAATTGGCTAATGCAACACGGGTTTTTGTCAATACTAGGACTCGATCGTGACTTTAATGTAACATCTTAGTAAGCTGATATTTGAGATCCTCAAGGACAAGTTAGAGATTAAGGGCTACCGCACACGTAAGACAAACAGTCAGACGACTGTTTCGTCGTTCGCACAAAGCCCTTAAGAACATATAGAGATGCGCACACTGTTATGACACAACAGCGACACGACTGGCAGTCGGTTACCTCTACCGACAACCCCGGACTTTTCTGTCTACCAACTGTCATTGGCCCTTCGAATTATATGAAAGCGTGCAGACGAACGACCTTTCAGTCGTTCTGCCTTTCATTTCGTGAGAGCATTTGCAGACAGTAGACGATTGTCAAACATGGATTTTGTTGAAACTGCTATAGTATGTGCACTTGTGATTCGCCTCAAGGAAAGGAGGAAAAGGAATTACTGGGTGCTTCCATTATACAGTGAGAGACTGTTCAAAGCAAAATTCCATACTATGTATGAAACATTACGGAATTATCCTGCAAAATTCTTTTCATATTTTCACACGAGTACACAAAGTTTTGATGAACTTCTATTATTGCTGAGACCAAGTATAACCTATCAAGATACGGATATGCGTCTCGCTATTTCACCTAAAGAAAGACTGGCACAACTGAACAAATCTCTTGCCAAAGTACTCTTTTAACATTGATGTTTGCATAATCTTTTAATTTTGTTCGATATTCTCTTCTTGCAACATTCCTGACTTCTGTACTCGGCGAGCATAGAGAGAAGAATGTGGAACAAAAGAGAGCAAAAGAACGACTGTTTAGTTGTACGTGTAGGCATGCTCATGGATTGAGCTGTCGTGTCGTTTATGGGTCGTATGCTTGACACAACAGCGACACGACTGGCAGTCGGTTACCTCTACCGACAACCCCGGACTTTTCTGTCTACCAACTGTCAAAGGGCCGTAGTGCTAAAGAAGAAGAAGAAATATTTGAAACCTATTCTAAATTTCAACTTCACTTTGCTTCTTTACCTCTCCCTAATTTAATTTTTTTTTTTAAATCAAATTCTTCTGTGTTGAAATTTTGGTTAGTTTGTCTATCTACTGAACGCCTCTCCCATACTTTTGCCACTACCGGATAATGGTCAGTGTAACAATCTGTCCTCTGAATGACCTCATATAAATTATATTTGTCTGCTAAAGCACATTCTATCTGATTGTGTGTACTACCATATAGAGATGTCCAAGTATATTTATGAATATCATGATGTGAACATTTTTGACTGTTTACAATTAGATGTTTTGATTTAGCAAAGTTTGCTGCTCTAACGCCATTGTCATTACTAATTTCATATGGACTCTTGTTGCTTATTGTTGGTTTGATAATATCCTCTCAATTTTTGTACTGAAATCTCCAAGCAGAATTTTTATGTGACAGGATAGCGAAATGTTGTTGGCCTCACGCCCAGCTCCCAATCTGGAGTACCACCACTTGTCGGCTGTCTGCGACTGCTAATTCAATATATTCGCGGCTAACCACCAGAACTGGATGCTGTTCCTCCATCCGCAACCTGAGGACGGGCCATGCTGTGGAGACAGGGACCTACCATACGAGGTATAGTTTGCAATATAAAAACGAGTAAAAGCCAATGCAGATAGAATTTTATTTATTAAATCTAATGTTATAAAATTACAATTGTTGGTTAGTGCGACATCTGCTGCTGCTTCTTTGTAAGCAAATTTGATACACGTGGTTGCAGCGTTGTTTCTGAGAGACGAAGCGCTGCATTAACATCAATTCAATTTCTCTGTTACCTGCCATTGTGCATCAACACCATGTTCACAAAACAACAAATAAAACTAACTAACTAACTAGATGGCTTACCGAACCCGAAGGTTCATCACCGAATTAACCAAAGCCCTCCACCGGACCCTGTCCTGGGCCAACAAAATCCAGTCTCCTTCAACTCCTATCTCCCATAGATCCCGCCTGAGATTATCCTCCCATCTACGTCTAGGTCTCCCCAGCGGTCTCTTCCCCTCAGGCTTCCCAAATAGTGGACCCAACCAACCAGAGGGCTTACGGAACCCGAAGGTTCATCACCGAATTAACCAAAGCCCTCCACCGGACCCTGTCCTGGGCCAACAAAATCCA